AGATAGTCTCATAGTATAAATCAATCGAGGTAACCAAATGAAAAAAAATAAAAAACACGTTCAAAAGTAAAATACAGTAGCACTGCAATCAGACATCTGTTAAAATGACCAGGAAAAACAGTGCCAAGAGTACCACCATACTAGTTGGCAGATTATCACCCTGTAATTAAAGAATGCCATCATTAATCTTACAAAGTTTTTCTTAAAAAGAACCGTTAGATATTATGGTCCAAAATTCAGTTGCACGTTGATGTCTACGTTCCAGAAGAAAGAAAGTTAATATTGCCAAAATGCCCAAAAGTTGTGGGTAACAACCATTAGGTGGGTGGTCTATAATCAAACCAAGTTGAATGGTATGTCTGAGCAACTTGCCAAGATGGAGTTATGCTTCCAACAGATCCAATGGTTTATGGTTTTGGGACCATAAAACAATTTGTGGTTTGCTTGGGGTGCCCATGCATTCCAAACTCCATTGTTATCTAGCTTATACAAAACCAAGTTCACATAAAGCAGCAGCTATGGAAGAAATAAACTCTACAATGAATGGACTTATGTCCAACTAAAACTATTTTCGACAATTACCCAAGAACATAATATTTATACCTCAAAAACAAATAGCCGTATGTTCTCACTGACAAGCAGTAACAAGCTAGATTTTACAATGTTTTGTTATCAAGTTGAATTGAATTTGGTGGAATCTATGCTTCACTCCAAAAGTTAAAAGGTCAGATTACTGAACAATACTAAATAGAGGTATATATTGCATGTTAGCTTGTACGATGTTTTATTGGGATTGAAATTCTTAACGAGTTAGCAGCTTGGGCACCAAATCTGCCCAAATCCAATCACAGCTATTAGACCTTTAGCAAAGAGAAACCCATAGTTTCTTTTGGGTACTTTCCAAAATGCTTCTATAAAGCAAAAGAAAATAGTTAAAAGCCAAATCATAATTGACTAAAAATGAACAAAGGACTAAAATGTATAACCAATCTAACATTTTAGTCGGTATAAATGTAAAATCATTCATTTTGTTATAAAATAATGCGTTGTATTTATTGCTTCAAGATTTTTTTTTTTTTTTTGCTTTTCCTTGTTTGGAAGCAAAAACGAAATAACAAAGGTATCAGCCAAAAGATAACTTGCAAATGTTGGCATCCAACAAGGTTAAGTGAAAAGAGAATACAAGTCTTGAAAAATCATGGGATGAATCAAACACCTTGGCAATTCCGCAAATAGGTGATTGTAATCAGGAGCCAGACTCTGACAGTTTGTAGGATGTGGTAGAGGAACAAGGTCAGTACCAAGGTATTTTCAGGTTTGACACATACATATCAGTGATATACTAACAAATATATGCCAACTTACAAGTAAGAGAATACATTCTCAAACTGCGAAAAATATAAGAATGATGCTTGTGGCTTACTACATCTGATACATTGCATTCAAGCTAACTTGTATTATAGCTGCTATGTGCAGCTAACGACAAATTAAATCCAATCATAAGGACAAAAAACCCAGCTCCATCATTTGTACCGCTCAAATTAATTCTCATTTCAGCATGCCAGCATTTAGAAATAAAAACAATGACAGATGTTTAGACAAGGGGCAAATTTTCAAATAAGATTCCAGCATAATTATAAACGAGGTCCGGTGGATCTCCATGGTCTTGATAACTTAAGTCCTCATTTAGTTAATGAAGAGGTACATTAGTTTCTAATAGGATCATCCAAGGAGGCAAAGCCTAAATCACTAGGTCAAATATTAAGGGGTGAAAATGAACCCACTAAGCCAAGTATTCTTACATAAGTAGTTCACAATGCCACTCACAGATATAGATAAGCCTGGAAAATCTTACATAGATAGTGCTGGTTCATGAGAGAGAGGCTGAAAATGACAACAACATGACTGCACGTGCTAATGAGGGAATGAAGGATTTTTTAAATGATTTGCCCATCAAAGGTGGTGAACGAAATTTGAGGGATGATTTGTTCTCGCACATTTCCAGGCAGAAACACAGAGCAAAGGAGGGTAATTATAATAAGTATACCTCTCTCCAAACTGTTCATGTTAAAAAATCTGCTCCTCAAAAGAAGACTTTGCACTGCCGAAACAAGTACAAACAGAAGAAGGTGCTTCGCCCGGTTCTTGCAGAAAGATTCCTTTATGATTTGGAATTTCCAGCATTGGGGCAGAGTCTAAAGAAGGAAGACACAGACTCCTTGCAGTTCGGGAAAGAATTGGGTTTTGAGTCTAATGGCTCAGTAGTGGCTCTGATTTCGGAAGATTACGGCAGTGGAAGTTTTGGAAGGTGACTCGCATATGATCATTGTTTTTGGAGTTGGAGGTTCGGATGGTCTATGTCGACAAGATGAGCATTAAATGGCAGAAAGGAGGAGTTTCGAAGCTTGCTTCTCTGCAACCTTTTCATGTGGAAGCTCTTGGCCTTTGTGGTGATTTGGTTCCTATGGATTGAGTTAGCTGTTTTATTTGGCTTCTATTAAAGTTGTTTTGTTTTGTGGTGTCTTTCGGGCCAAACTCAGGTTTTAAGTCTGGTCTGTTTTATTAGTGGCTGTTGTTGTAACTAAGGTGATTTAGGCTGAGTGAATGCTGTTTTTTAGGTTGTTTTCGTTTGTTTCTGGTGCTCTGTGTATGTTGGGGTGGATTATGGTTGCATCTTGTAATGAAATCTTAAGGCACTCTTTTCCTCCTTCTGCTGATTAAGGGGTTTCTCTATAAACTCCTCTAATCAAGACGGGTTTTTTTTTAATGAGGCCTTCAATTCCTATCAAAATAATAATAATAATCATGTTCATGTTGAAAATACTGAAAACTAGCAACCGTTCACAACTTGAGAAAACTGATGGTTGATTTTAAATGTTCAATTAATAAGAATGAGAATTGAAGTTTACCAGGGGGAGGGACTTGGGTGATTGTATTACATAATGCACAGCAAACATTTGTAGCCCCTCTAGGATAAAGAAGAATGCTCCTACACCCGCTGCAAACGAGCTGGCTTTGCATATCTGCTGTCACTGTAAAGAACGATGTAAAGGTGCATTTTATAAACCTGATTATACCAATAATAACAATTTACAACCGGTAATGTCATCTTTTAGATTCAATATAAGCATATGATAGTAAAACCTCATCCATTAATACAATCCTGTCGATCTAGATGAAACAACAAGACATCCAGAGGTCAAAATTCATGACATTCAAAAACACCAAAATTGCTAGCCAAAAAAAAATAGAATAGTAATAAAGATGTCTCAAAGGAGGAGCGAGATTCATTTAACAAATAGCATCCAACAGCAACTTAATGAAAGTTCTATCTCAGAGTACAAATACACGTCAATATGCATCACAATCACTGTAGAAAAAAACGGGGTTAAAGAGTTTGAAATAACAAAAATATTGAGAAAGAAAAAACATTAGAACAGAAATAGTACTATCGGTGCACAGTCTTCTCTTAATCACTTTTTCCCTTAAAGCATTTCTTTCTCTTTTGTCCTTTCAATCATATAGTAGTTAACAACTCAGCAAAAGCAGTACATCATTTCTAAAATCCCTTTATTTCAGTGAAATCCTAACATGAATTTTATCAAAAACCCGGAGAGGAAGAAATACCCGATTTCCCTTCCTTCAACAAGAAACCAATCCCAATTTCTTGGGGAGCTATCGAAATTAAGGCTCAAAATTTCCTGTCAAACAAATTAAAAACAAAAATTAAAAGTAAGTACGAGGCAAATTAAAAAGATGAAAGATAATAAGAAGTTTAACTTTTACCTTGAAGAAGAAGGCCGAGAAGTTGAATATCAGGAAAAATAAATAAATATTATCAAAAGGATATTTTAAATGCTGCGATTTTACAGATATGATGAGATCCGCGAAAATTAGGAATCTTGCAATTACGTTGACTTGTTTCTTTTCCTTCTTTTTTTTCTCTTTTGGGAGGTTTGGTTGAAGTTTCTTAAGAAAATGTCGTTGGGAATTAGGATTCGGCCGACTTTTTCACCTTTACCCCCCTATTATTTACTTATTTAATTCTCGAAGTTGTCACGAATTTCTTTTTTCTTCTTATTTAAACTAGAGTTTGAGAGTTTTAAGTTTTAAATTTTGAGTTTTGATTTTATGAATCATTTTAATTTAAAGTTATAAAATTTTAATTATTTGTTAATAATATTTTTATTTTTATTATTAATATAATAATTATTATTTTTAAAAATATAAGATGATTACAAGATAGACTATTTAAAATTATTCTTAGTCAGGACAACACACATAGTCAGAGACATAACTACTTCAATTTGGGATCTTTAAGAAAAATTCTATAATAATTATTTTATATACTTATTATAAATATTATAAAAAGCTATTATTTTATATTTTAAATAAAAATATTCCGATAACTGTTTATATATAACAGTTAATATGAACGGTAATAAACTAAAAATAATCCATGCATAATTACATATGTATTAATTGAACAACCAATTTAAATTAAATAATTGAAGATGAAAAAATACTTCTCTATAGTGAGAGTTAAAATTTTAAATTTTATGATTAAATAAAAAGCATTCTTTCAATTATGATTTTAAGGTCAAAAATTAAGTATTTAATATTATATATAAATAAATAAAATATTTTTCTCAACCCAAAAATATTGCCAAACACACTCTTAATAATCCTTGGATATAGTCATAGACATCACCATCTTTTTCTTGGGTCTTCGACCATTAAAATGAGGATGGCCTGGTATTTAGGCCATCACGAATCTCTTTGACTCATTTCTGCCAATTATCCTTAGTGATGGCAAAAAGAAAAACCAAAATCCACGGATTGAAATTTAATTCGATGATTTGTTTGTTTGTTTTCAATAATTTTTTAATTTATTTATAATATATATCTTATAAATACTACTGTTCAAATCTAACATCTTTATAGATTTAGGTGGCGTTTGGTTCGCTGGAATATTTATGAGGGAATTGGAATCTGTTAAGGAATTAGAATCTGTAAGAATTGGAATCTAATTACATATTCTGTTTGGTTGGCATGAAATAGAATTGGAATCCAATTTCATATTCTGTTTGGTTCGGAGACATGTCAGATGAATTTGATTTCAGTAATGTAAAACAACAGAATTACCCTTCTTATTTTTTTGCTTTATTTTAGTTTATTTTACAACTTACATGTAGTAATATATTATAAAAAATTAAAAAATATTAAATTTTTATTTTATTGATTGATTATTCATTTCAATAAATTATAAAAAATCATACTAATAAACATTATAAGTTAAAATCATCGCAATCAAAATAGGTTAATAAGTTACCAAAAGATAGAGTAATATTTTGATACATTCCAATCGGAGTATGTTAATTAATTACCAAAAAATATACCAAAAACTATTTTTATTCAATATATGAATTAAAAACTCAACCCGATACGACTTAAAATAATAATAAAATTATTTTTATTCAATAAAAATATTGACTTAATTGAAAAAAATTATATATAGAGGGGTATTATTGTAATTATTCCTAAATATATAAGGTAAAATTATATTTTTTTTAGGTTGGTCTAGTTTTTTTCACTCTACACCCGAACCCGACCCGACCTGACCCGAATATCACACTTAAAAAAACCCGACCCGACTCGACCCGAATATCACACTTAAAAAACCCGACCCGAACAAAATAAAGTTTCATCCGACCCGACCCTATGAATTAGAAATCCGACCCGACTCGACCCAAAATAATAAAAAAATATTTTTATTTAATAAAAACAGTGACTTAATCTGACCCGGTCCGAATTATATATATTTTCGGGTCGGTACGGTTTTTTCATCCTAAACCCGAACCCGACCCGAATATTACACTTAAAAAAACCCGATCCGACCCGAATATCACACTTAAAAAACCCGACCCGACCCGAACAAAATAAAGTTTCATCCGACCCGAATATATGAATTAGAAATCCGAACCGACCCGAAATAATAAAAAAATATTTTTATTTAATAAAAACAGTGACTTAATCTGACCTGACCCGAATTATATATATTTTCGGGTCGGTCTGTTTTTTTTAACCCTAAACCTAAACCCGACCCGACCCAAATATCACACTTAAAAAATCCGATCCGGCCCGACCAAAATAAAGTTTCACCCGAACCGACCCGAATATATGAATTAGAAACTCGACCCGACCCGGAATAATAAAAAATATTTTTATTCAATATATGAATAAGTTACCAAATGATTGATGAAGGTAGTATGATCAAATTTTAATTTCCTCCAACAAGGGAATTGAATTCCATCAGGGATTCCAATTCCCTTGAAAAACTTGAACCAAACATGGAAAAGTGGTGAAATTAGATTCTAATTCCAAGGGATTTTATCCAACCAAACGCCACCTTACAGTAAATAATATTCATAAGATGGCTTGCGATGGAGTTTTGGTGTCAACGCAGTAGTTCTTCTATTCTGGTGGATGAATCCACGCTTGCAGGTTTGACCTATCATTAAATTTGGTTTGGCTACAAGATGGTTATCTATCTGTTTTTTTTTTGGAGCCTTGCAGCGGCATAGTCTCTATCGATGGATGAAAGCGTGTTTGCTGCTGCATTTGATTACCGATGTTCTCTCCTCATTTATTGTTTGGGTGTTGATCAGCTAGGTTTCTTCTAGGCCAGGCCAGGGCTAGGGTTTTGGTTTATTCTTATTGTATCCTATGTTTTCAGCCTTTAGGCCATTTCTTTTGTACTTGCTTTTCTTTGTTGAGGAAAGTTTTAATAAACAAAAAAAGTATGGATTATGTAATATTTGTATTGTTGAGTTAATCGATTGACGAATATGGTCAAGAGGGGGTGAATTGGCAATTAAAATTTTGGTAGAAGCTTTTGCAGAAAATTGAAAGAAATTTGCACAGCGATTTAGAGTGGTTCGACTTTCTCAACCAAAGTCTACGTCCACTACCTTAGCTATCCACACTAAGGATTTTTCACAAATTCACTAATTTTTCTTTCTTTTGAGGAAAAATAGTAACCTTACAAACCCTCAAGAATTATACCCCAAATTCTTGAGAACACTCTCTCCCAAAGAGAACAATACAAATTTGTAAACTTACAAGGAAATCCTCACAAGGTAGATTGTTTGCACAATTCTAGAACAAAGAAAAGAACACTCAAGAATGAATACAATTGAGCACAATAAGTGTTCTTTAAAGCAAAATGAATATTGAATGAAAAATATGCTTGAAATGCTCAAACTTGAGGTTTGATGCTTTCTCTTTGATTCTCTCTTGATTCTAGGTGCTTGATGTTTCTTGTTGTTGATCAATGGCTTCTAAGCTTGCTTAAATACACCTTGAATCACTTCTGAACGTTGGGGATCATTAATAAAGTTTTTGGAGCCGTTTAAGTGTGAAAAAATTAATATTTCTGCTTGGAGCGTGGGGGGAATCGGTACCCCTAATGGGGAATTGGTTCCCTAAGTGTAAAATTCAAATATTTCGACCATTGAACAGTGGGGGAATCGGTACCCCCTGGGGGGAATCAGTTCCCTCCGAGCATACTGGAATTCTCGGAGTCAAACCATTCAGGGGGAATCGGTACCCCTTGGGGGGAATCGGTTCCCTCTGAGTAATCTGGAAATTTTGGCTTTGAAATGGTTCGAAATATTTTGTGAAATTGTTTTGAAATTATTTTAAGACTAAAACTTAATTTTACACTTGAGTAAGGATTAAAAATGACATTTGAAAGATTTGGAATAATATTTTGATATTCGAATAATTATATCGAATATACTTAGAAAATCTTTTTGGAAAATCTTAAAATTCATTTAACTTAATTTGTTATATCGAAATATCAAAATGTATTCAACAATCTCTCCCTTTTTGATATAACAAAACATTTTGGTAATTTTAAGATTTTGAAATCAAGTTTTGAAATTACTCTCCCTTACTCTAACACTACTCCTCTTTAAAACACTTTTAACATTTCTCCCCCTTTTTGTTAAATCAAAAAGACTTTTAAAAGATATTAAACAAGGTTTTGAAATCATTCAGCCAGCTGATTATATATATAGTTTAAGCTGCTAAGATACAATCAAGAGAAACGTTAGCCATTAGTTTCATAATCAATATTCATAAACAATGTGACATGGTAAAATTGGTCATATATCTAACATGATGTAAATGATGCAATAATGAAGAAATTTAACCACACCAAATATATAAGTTCAAATATCCATAATCCATCAAATAAGTTCAAATATCTAACAATAAAAAGAAAACAATCCAAAAACATTCAAAATGTTTAAACAATAAGCTTTAAGTTCAAAGTACTAAAGCAAAACACAGAATCAAGCATCCGTAAGAGGATCGGGAGGAGGAAAACGAACTCGCATAGCGGCCATCTCATGAGTGAGTTCATTAATACGAGCGTTGGTTGCTTCATTGTTTGCACACATCTCCTAGAGAATTTCCAATTGTTGAGCTCCCATTGTGGATAAGTGAGACTCTATAGAAGTAAAGCGCGAATCTATGGTAGCATATCAGAAATCGAATGTCTCTATAAAAGATTGAAAATATGGAGGCATTTGATTCGTTTTTTGTGCTTGCTCCTCGGGCTGCTCAGGCTCATCTTCGGCTTCATCGATGTCTCGCATTAATTGTTCAAGCTCGGGATCGTCGTCAGCTTCTGGTGGAGCTCGTGAAGAACTGGCTCCCGGAGTATTTTTAGAAGATCGAACCCATTCACCGGTTTCCTTATCCTTTATCCATCCCGCTCTCGTTAAGGAAAAAAATATTAATTTGTTTCTTTAGAGGAAAGACGGCATCTAGACCTACTCTAAGCCCGGCTTTAGAAAAAAGATTACTCAGAATGCAACCGTAAACTAGAGATGAACAGAGTTTCTTGTTAGGAACAAGATTTACGGTTTCAACGATTTCAGCAAAAATAATCTGAGGTAGGTTTATTTTAATACTGTTTTAGAAACAATGTAACCACCAAAGATCTAAAGCAGAAGAGTAGAGTAATGACCTCCGGATGGTCGAAACCACCAAGAAATCATTAGATGAAGAAAACGATCATGAAGGTCTAAGACACTCGCATTATCCCTTCTTTTATAACGAGAACCTAAAACATGTTTTTCATTTGATATACCATCATTATCTAATCCTAATACTTTGGTTATGTAACCCGAGTCAATATGTAAGAATTGTCCTATGAGGTAGGAACGAACTCCTATGGTTTCAGTTTGAGCTCGGTTTTTGACACAAACAACATTAGAATAAAAGATGCGAACAAGTTGATAGTAAACTGTAGGTTCAAGGTCACAAAGTTTATCAAATTTCCACTCTTGTAAAAGAGGAAGATATTTAAAATCGATATCTATCATAGCTTGACGAGAAGGGATACGTTTTCTCTAATTTTGTAAGAGTCAAAATATTGATAATACCAAAAACGATGATTTCTAGGACTAGGATGATTAAAGCACGCATTTTGGATAGTCATATTAGGATCAATGGGATTAGGATTAGGAATTGGAATTTCAGGAATAGTAGGAGGATTTAGAGGTGGGTTGGATTGACGGTTTGAGCGACTGGATGATGACCTAGCACGTTTAGGATTGGACATGGTTTAGGAAATCGGAATAGAATGGATAACCTGCAATTTAGAAAACACATGTATGCAATTCAATCAATCCCAAAACTCAATTGAGTCCTCAATATTTCAAGGTTCTCTAAACCAATCCTAATGGGCAAATTTTTTTTAAAACTATTGAAAAATAAGGTTTTGAAAAACAATATATGTATACTTTTCATAACAACAACATAATTCAATTAAAACACAATAATTTGAAAAACAATTTTTTTTATTTCAAAAATTTCAAAATTTTTGGAAAATTCTTGTGTTTTTTATGAAATTAGTTGTAATATCTAGTTTCTAATCACTAAAAAATCAATGCCCGATCACTATTTCTATCTAGAACTAATTAAAACTAGTCCTGTATTCA